TTGTGGTGGATGGCTTTTTAATTTCTTAGAAAAAAGCAAGACAAAAATCATTGCTTAAATAAATTCACGAATTAAGAGTACTGAGTTAGCCTTCCTTTGTGCATGCATTTATGCAAATACCTGATGCTGACAAGTGTATTAAAAAACAAACAAAAAACTGTAAAATGATGGAGGAAGATATGCCTAACATTAAGGAGCTTGGTATTATTAGGTTTTGAGAAGGGTGATCTCTAAAATTATGTTGCCTTCCCTGCCTCTTCTGGTATGTTCACAGGTGACAGAAAGGCTTCACGTTTGAGCTCCAGGCTTTGGAAGTAGCGGAGTAAGGAGAAGTGCTGCCTTCTGGTGTGACTGCATGCGTGTGCAAAGGTTGCTGACATCATCTGGGGTGTCTGGAGGGAGACCTGGTAGACTTCTGTGGTCATCAACAGGCTGATTAACTGTGGTGCTGATAAACTGTGTAGCATTCAGGCCCCTTGCTGAAAATTGATATTATGAAGGCGTGGTGAGATGGAAGATCCAGAAATGCAGGGCAGTGTGTGGCACGTGTCCGGTTCTTAAGAGTGTTTTCCTTGTGTATACTTGAATCAAGGTTGGAGATAGTTTTCTAATTGTTTTTGTATTGCATAGTAAAAACTATTGTGTGGTGCAGGTTTGTTTCCTCCTCCCTCTGCTGCTCCCAGTTTTATTTAGGTATGTGGCTGCAGAAGAGATGCAAACTTTGTTTCTCGCATCTCAAATTTAAGACTTCTGATCTGCTGTTGCAGCTGTTGCACACAAAAGGTTTGTTCAGGTCTGCTAGTAAAAACCAAGAGGCTCCATTTGATCAGTATGGTTCCAAAGCATCATGCTAGAAATGTGGAGTTTTGTTTCAGAAGTTCTCATGAATATAACCTGATAAGGCACCATCTCTGTTCTAGAGGTAGAAATAGTTCCTTTAATTCTAGAGGGCAGAAGAATGTAATTGCAACTGGTTTTGGTCTTGACTTCGGTTAAGTCTGTATATCATTTTACATATCACTCATGCCTAGTGTTAAATAAATTTTTCTAAAACACTTTGTCCTATTTTGTCTGTCAGCTTTGAGCCATGTGTCTATAGTTGCTGGTGTATTTTCTTTTTAGGGCCATGGAAAAATGCATGCACTGTGTCTTGTGGGTTTTTTTTTTGTTTCTTGTTTCTGTGTGATTTCTGGCATTACAGCACTTCATGAAAGGCTGTTAAACTTGCTGGAACGTTCTGAAGTACGAAGCTTCCTGCAGCTTCTATTCAAGATAGAAATTTGTTCATCACCACACTCAGAATGATACCATGTGGTGTCAGAGTGTATATCCTGTAGGTGATGAACCATGCCATCTTCCCAGGCAATGTGGATAACACCAGGAGAGGAATGCATGTGGGAGCTGAGACTGCAGGCTGGATGTGAGGACTCTAAAATGACACTGGCCTTGTCTAGTCACCACCTGCTAAGGAGGCTGGCTTTCCACCCTGCCCCATGAATTCAAGCACATGAGGGGATGTGCGTGTCTGCTGCATTCTTTCCTGTGCCCTGTACGTGTGTGCTGCTCTGCTTGCAGCACAGTGAAGCCTCCTACCAGGCTCCCAGGGATGGATCAGCAGGCAGGCCAGCTACACAGCGAGCCCACAGGCATTACTGAGATGCTGAACTTCCCACCACTGGGAAATGAGGCAGAAATTTGGTGGTCTTATCCATTACTTTCATTGAATAACATATATTTATTGAAATTCAATGTGGATACTGTTCTGTAGAAGTAAATGAAGATCGACATGTAGATTCCCGATATCTTTCATTTGTGGCTGGTTGCAGTGTGGCTAAAAGGAGCTGGCTGAGCTGCTGGCTGCATGAGGCTTGGTATGGAGAGAGAGGAAAAGAATAACAGAAAATGACTTCCCTGCTTGCTGAAGAATGTGTACCATAGTGACAGTGCATGCTGATTTTTTTTTTTTGTCTCAATTCTTTCAGACTAAAGGGTACTTCTACTGCATAGGAAAGACTGAAGTGTAAGAACTCTTCCTTTCTGGAAGGATTAGAACACTTTTTCCAGTTAATTCTAGACCTTCTCACTTTTACTGCTGCTAATACTTAAGAGGCTGCGGCCATGTGCTCTGTAGCTGTGAGCAGCTTGTGCCTGTTAGCCAGTGCCAGATGTGATCCACGTAGTGGCTTTGTTCCTGCAATACTTAGTGATCTGCGTACCATGGAAGGTTTTTCAGTTAATGTCTAGGTTCACTTTGGTGTCCTGTCTTTGCTAGTGGAGGGAAAGAGGTTTGTAACTGGGTTGATCTCTGGCTGACTGCTGAACTTTATGCTATGTGGCAACAATTAAACAATATGGTTAGAGTGTAACAAGCTGTAGGATGTGGTGTTACCCCGGTACTTTGCTCTAAGAACACTGAGCTGCGTAGTTTTCCCAGGCTTTGTCCTACAAACTCAGAATTATTCTGTGAATGTTGCTTAGAGAAGGAAATTGTTTTTTTCTGTTAAGTTTTTTTTTTTTTTTTTCCTGGCTGGATACTGGAATGTTTTTATTGTGTGTTTCAAGATGCTGTATGATTTTTTTTTTTTTTTTTTTTTTAGTTTGCAGTGCCATGCATTTATACAAATAACAATTTTCTTAAATATAGTATAATGTTAATATCTGTATTAACTGATGTAATAGTCATAACTGCAGTTTCACTGTGATTTATAGGCAGTTCTTCTGTGGATAATTAATAATGAATTTGGTATGTATGTTAAATTAAATGTGAATTCAAGAGAATCCATCGCTAAAAGTTTAAGAACTTGAACAATATGGATAAAACAATAGTTTGAATCATGTGAAATTTTAAGGTCCTTGTTTTTTTCTCCATATGATCTTGGGCAAAGTTGTTTCTAGTCTTCCATTGCCTTGTATGTAAAAGTTTCTCATCTGATGAGACTACTCTGAAGTGCAATTGCAGTAGGTAAGACAGTGTGATTTTACAGATGTGACAGTTGCGACCTGCTGTAGGGAACCTGCTTTGGCAGGGGGGTTGGACTCGATGATCTCTGGAGGTCCCTTCCAACCCCTACGATTCTGTGATTCTGTGATGCCCTTGAAATGTTTTAATTATTCTAAATCATCTGAACTGCACCTTTAATTTTTTTTTTTAAAACCTATGGAAAAGAAAAACCAAAAGCGTTATCTGAAGATAAAATAATCGTAATTTCATTTCCTGCATTGAATACTGCAAAATGGAAATAAAACCAATTGAGTAAAACGTTGTGGGGACAGGACAGTGTTCTCCTTTGCACTATACAAGCTAAAATGTTATCTTTTTTGGCCAGGGAAGAAAGCATGAGGTGAAGGATGAGGTTACAGCCTGACACCACTATGGATTTTTGAAACGAGAGGTTCTGAATTGTTGCTGGTAGGCCTTGAGGAGCCTTGTGCTCAGTAACCTGGAGTACAGTCAGGAAGTTTTGAGGAGTAACTCCCATCATCAGGTTTTTATTTTATTTTATTTTGTTGAAAAGTTGTTTGTTCTTAAAATAGCATAAGTTGAAGTGCTTCTGGAACGAGCAACAACAATTTTTACCCCCTAGGCTGAGAGCAATTTAGTTTTTCTGGGTAGTAAAATGAAATGGTGTGGGACTGGAAAGAAGGGAAAGTTGCTGTAGGGAATTTAGGAGATTGCGAGTTACTGAGTTGTCCAGAGGTTGTAATTGGTGAGCCAATGTAAGTGCATAAGTACCATGGGTAATGGTGCTTTCTAAACACCCACTTATTGCAGCTGAATCCTACCAAACCTTTCTATAAGCATTAAGGAGATAATGTTGTATCACGAGAGCTGCTCTGAAAGCAGTACCTCCTATTTCATTATGTTGGCCTGTGATGTCAGAGGTGGATGTTGGTGGTACGGCAGTAGAGGTTGAACCTTCTTGCCAGTATTCCAGCATGTGCTGTTGCCATGTGACTGATGGCAGCAGGGGGACAGTCTGAAGTATGTATGAAGAAGAGGTGTGTTATTGAGTTCCTCCATGTGGAAAAAATTGCTTTCACTGTCATTCATTAATACTTGCTGAACATTGATGGAGACCAAACAGTGGACGTGAGGTGGTAGGTGCTGCGTTTCGGCAGTGGTGACAGTGACAGTGGATCACCTCGGCTGGTGTAGGCTGCTGCTGGCTCAGCATACAGGCTCTTGTTCATCATTGTCAGAAATGCATAACTAAAGGTGGCGACTGTGTTGAAAAATTGTGTTTTGTAGCTGAGAATTTGCTCTATTATATGGTATTATTGTGCTCTCTGTGCCTGTTGTAGTTTCCATGGAAATAAATGGGAGGCATTACTTTCAGACTGACCTACATACTACTCATTTGCCTGTCCTATTTGCTTTCCTGCAACCTGCTACAAACTGCAGTTGTTTCATGTTCTTCAACTTTGCACTTCAGAGCGCAGTGTTTCATACAATGTGTAGGGGTCTGTGATAGCAGGCGCTCAGCAGGAGTCCTGTACTTTTGGGTCTGGCAAATGCAGACTTGCCTGGTGAAATTCACATTTCGCTTTTGGCATGCTATTATGTTTTAATTTAAAACTTGATTGACGGTGGCTCATAAATTCAAGTAAGATCCTTGTAGTTTCTAGATACTTTCAGGGGAGTTTTCCAGGCGTGGGATGCGTGCTGCTTCTTTGTGATAGCCACTGTCTGAGAATTGTAGGAAAAGTCTGTAGATCTATTTGCAGTTATTGTTATCATTTAGAGAGAGATGGAGACAGGTTAGCAACATTTATTTATGAAGGAGATTTTGTTTGTAGTGTTTGAAATCGGTATTTAAAGGGAAGCCTTTAAGCCTTGAATGTCTTAATGTAATTTATGCATAAAAAATAGGCTTTTAGCTTCTTGATCTAGAACAAATAAAAATAAATCATTGTACTTGTATTATTGATATGACATAAGTCAGAGCTAAAAAGATTCTTTTTTTTTTTTTTTTTTTTTTTTTTCTTTTTTTTTTGTACAGAAAAGATGAAAAGGAGTATGCACTGAAGCAAATTGAAGGTACAGGGATATCCATGTCGGCCTGTAGAGAGATTGCAGTAAGTGTACTTAAACAAAACTATTTTTAATAACATTCTTATTCAACAAGTATTTTAATTTTCTCTGCAGTAAGACTATGTAAATGTTTTCCTTGAAGTATGCAAGTATGAAAGTTAATCAAACATGAGCTTTTCTTAAAATACTTTGTAAATTACAAATTCTTTTCTGGTGTGTGGAAAGAGACATTCTTGCTAGGTTAATGGTAATGGCCTTCTCTGGTATTTTGTCTTGCATGCTTTTGTGTTGAGAAGGAAATAAATGTGACCCTTTTAATCAAGGTTTGTTTCAAAACTGGGTGGTTTTAAAATGACTTGTAAGAAAATGGTTTTGAAAGATTACAACTGTCATTACAAGTCAGCTTGCTAACAGTGTATTTTATGTCAGACTAATGGTTTGGTACCTGATAACAGCTTGTTTTCCTCGTTCCTTTTTTGCTTTGCTAAGTACGGAGAAGTTTCATAGCAAAATAAAAACAGCTTTACTTGTATTTTTATTACATGTATCTTAAGGGAAAAAAAGAGGGCACAGTAGTGCTCATATGTACATATATTTATATAAACTCCTTCAAAGTTGGTAAGAATTAGATGTTTTTCTGTGAGGATCAAAAACATTTAAAGAGCGAGTTCTGACTGAAAATATGCAGTAGTGTTGAAATGCTGGATAATGAGTAAAATTTTGCAGTGCAAGAATTTCCTGCATTACAACATGAGTGCATTTGCTTGATTAAATATTTACCTTCTTTGAATGCTGTCAGTATGCTGAGGGCTTTTGGAAATATAAGGCACCATTTGTGCCTACAGCTTTTTATAAGCTGGTGCTGTTGTGCAGATGTACAGTATTCAGGTGCTCAATACATTGTGAAGCATTAGAAATCTGTGATGTTCACAAACTGAGCAGTACTGTGTTCAGCACAGTGCACACAGTAATTCTGTGTCAAGGGCCATAACAGATAAAAATACTGTCCTTTTAAAGTGCTTGTCACTGCAAGGTCAAGGTCACTGAGGGATTTGAGAGTTGGCTCCATTGCTGTTGATTGCTTTACACAAAATCTACTCAGTGGCCTTTTTGCTAATATTTCTGCCTAAGTCTGTTTTGACAGCAGTGAAGTATTTTTCAGTTTCTTCGTCTCCATAGTAGTATGATTTAAAACAGACAAAAGACAAGAATCAGTGTGTGGAATATAGTCCAGAGGAGACTTTTGTCATGATAGCACTGTGGTACGGAGCCGGTCCTGCCAGACACAACATTGTGAGGAAATAGTGTCAGATTACTTTGTCCTCTAACCATATATCATCATTTCATTCCTTAATTATTTGTTTTTAAATTGTTCAAGCTTTGTGCAAATAGCAGTTGCATAAATTGTTTAGATCCTCTCAATAGTTACTCTTTTAATTCTTCCTTGGATGTTATTTTACTCTTCTCTAAAGTTCATAGTAAAACACTGTAACTGGGGATAAGTAGCAGATCGCTGCCTGCCTCAATGAAATTTCTGGGTTGTCAAATATTAGAAATATGTAAATGGTAAAGATGAAATAATTGGAAAAGAAGTGGTTATTTTTCTAGCAAACAGGCAGGATCAAAGGTGTTTTCCACAAAGAGAAGAAGATTTATAACTAATGCATTGATTGTTAATCTTGTATTTAAAAGTGTAGTGTTTACTGATTAAGAAAGGAATATTAGCCTGAAAAGAAGTGGTTTTAAAATGTCATGGGTATAGTTCTTTTGACATTTAACTTCAACCAACCAACCACAAAAAAAAAAAAAAAAAAAAAAAAAAAAAAAAAAAAAAAAAAAAAAAAAAAAAAAAAAAAAAAAAAAAAAAAAAAAAAACCAAACACAGCACTCATTCTTTCTTCTCTAATGTTCTTTGAAAGCTCTGCAGATGTAAGAAACACTGGTATACTCAACTGTGTTTTGTTCAGAATGATTTAGTAGTTCTGTAACCTGAAAACACTGACAGTGTGATTGAGGAATATATTACTGAATTGAAAGGCATTTGAGTGCTGTGATTCAAGACTGGTTTGTATGTAGTATTGCCTAAATACTCAGAATAAATCTACTAGCTCCTGGGGTGAGTGATTATTACATTTTTTTTTCAACTGCAGGATGATATCTTCTCTTCAGCCTGCGGAAGAGGCTCTGGGGGGACCTTATTGTGGCCTTCCAGTACCTAAAGGGGGCCTACAGGAAGGCTGGGTAGCAACCTTTTTGTTAGGGCAGGTAGTGACAGGACAGAGAGAAATGGTTTTAAACTACAAGAGGGTAGATTTAGACTAGATATTAGGAAGAAATTCTTTACTGTGAGGGTGGTGAGACACTGGAACAGGTTGCCCAGTGAGGCTGTGGATGCCTCCCTGGAAGCATTCAAGGCCAGGCTGGGTGGGGCTGTGAGCAACCTGGTCTAGAGGGAGGTGTCCCTGCCTATAGCAGGGGGTTGGAACTAGGTGATCTTAAAGATCCCTTCCAATCCAAACCATTCTATGACCCTCCTGAAGCAGGAATCCATATTGCAGTCAGTTCTGTTGTACTGGAATGTTGAAATTCCAGTAGAGGAGATTCTTATGTGATAATAATTGTATCCAAAAGAGGCTCTAATTTCTTCCCTGTAAGCAGAGTATGTTCTGAAGATAATTGAAACGCCAACTATTTGTGTGCTCTTGAGAGATATGTTGTTGCTGGGCTTCAGGCATGAACATTTAAAAAAGTGAAGCTGAAAAATATGAATGAGTCAGCGGTTAACTTACTCAAATTTATGCTGAATTTCACATGAGGAATTGCAGAAACTAAAGGCTGAATGGTGGCATGGGCTGATCTGAAAGTCAGTAGAAAAATTCTGGTTGTGAGCAATTTGGGAGGCTTCTGTATTATTGGCTTATTCCATTATATTGACTTATTTGGAAGAGAGGATGCAGTTCTGGATTCTGAGAGGTGTGAGCACAGCGTAAAGCTGCATCACAGCCAAGAAGTTTATGGGTTAAACGAAATTGAGGAGTTGTGGATACATCAGAGAGTTGTGCTGCTGTTCAGAGGAGCCTCAACAGGCTGTGGAAAAATGATTTGAGAGGAATCCTGTGGAGTTCAAAAAAGAAAAATGCAGTTCCACACAGAGGTGAAATAACTCCAGGCACCAGTAGATGCTGGGCAGCAGCTGCCTGGAAAGTAACTATGCAAAGAAGGCTTTGTTGGACAGCAAGCTGACCATGAGCCAGCAAGGCATCCTCAGGGCAAAGATGGTTAACAGCATCCTAGGCTGCATTAGGCAGAGCATTGCCAGCAGGCTGGGGAAGGTGATCTTTCCTCTCTATTCAGCACTGGTGTGGCCTTACTTGGAGAACTGGTTCCAATCCTAGGCTCTCCAGTACAAGAGAGACCTAGGGCATGAATGATAAAGATGATTAAAGGTCTGGAACATCTTTTATATGAGGAAAGACTGGGAGAGCTGGTACTGTTGATTCTGGAGAAGGGTTGAGGGGGGAATCTTACGTATGTATAAATCCCTGAAGGGAAAGTTCAAAGCAATGGGAGTCAGACTTAGTGGTGCCCATGGATAAGACAGAAGGCAACGGGCACTAATTAAAATCCATGAAACTCCATCTGAGCACAATAAACCTCCCACAACTTTTTTTTTTTCTTTTTTTTTTTTTAACTGAGTACTGGCATGGGTTTCCCAGAGGGGTTCTGAAGTCTCCATTTACTGGACACAGCTACTATTCCTGAGTGGTCACTGAAATTAGGTGTCTTAAGCAAAGCAATTGGGAATTTTCTGAAAGGTCTGAACTCTTGTCCCTGTAAATTTTTTTTGATCTGTTTGCCACTGAGGTATGTATTTCATCTGGTATTTATAGCTGCTACCTGGCTGATTGCGTTTCCAAAAAAATTCAATGAGAAATCAGAAGTAAACTTGATTTTCCTCAAAAGCACTCAACAGTCAGTGTTCTTAGTGTGTTCTATTTGTTTTTTTTTTTTTTTTTTTTTTTGAGACAGCACAGTGTAGTAAATATAGCAGTAAAATGTCCTGGAAGCCAATGAACGTTTGTAAGTCACTTTTACCACGGTGTGTGTGGTCTTGCTCTGAAATTGTTTTAAACCCCGAAAATCAAAAGCTGAAGAGTATCTTCTTATAAAATTGCTTTTGTTCCTAATGCATAGCTTGTAGGCAGATGACAACTAGTAAAGGTTTCTTTTCCCTTGAACCATTGACTTGAATTAGTGCTAGGAGGCTGCCTGTCAGCTCCTGCGTCTGTCTGGCTTTTCTCTCTACTGCCAACACTGTGAATTTCATCTCTTCCAAGGATAAATTGTCTTTTCTAGCCATCTTTTCTGTAAATAGTGATCTTAACTCTAAGCTTCATTGGACTTTTCTGTATCAGCACTTTTTTTTTTTTTTTTAATGTGGGGGAAAAATGAGACTATTACAGATGGTTTAATAGGGAAAAGCAGAGCCACAGAGCAGCAGTGTTTTATACCTAGCCTTGTTTATGAGTGGTCTGAATGGTTGTAGTTCTGCCCTCTGTGTATTTTGGGATCTGGGATGCATAATCACTTCAGCTGCTGCATCCTGTGCCTGTGTGTGCTGGCTGTTGGTGAAGCTGCCAGAGGCTGCTCCTTCTGGGAGACCTTGACGTGGTGCCAGCGCACTGTGGGATGCTGGTGGGAGCTCTCACTGGCCTTTGTGTTCCTACTGGCATTTATAGGGACAGGCTAAAATAATTCTGACTAATGTTAAATGAGGTACTGAAAGCTCATTCAAACAATTCAGCATGCACAAATTATTTTCAGGCGTTTTGCCTATTGATGCAATGTATATTACAAAGTGCTAGAGGGTACAAATGTTTTGGCCTCCTCAGTTCCTGTGGGTGGGCAGGGCTTTAAAAGGCTTTTTGGTTAAATGGTAGTTTTCTAAACTTTTTCTTTGTCAGATCTCATGAGTAAGGGCTCCGTCCCTTTGCTTTTGCATTTTTCCTATTGCCCCCCTGCTGTCCGTGACCTTCACTAGGAT